GAGTAGAGGTTTGTGTAGTTTATCGTTTCATTTCAGTTAACTAGCCTTGTAAAGGTGTATTGTTTTATCTTTGCATGCTTAAAACTTGGAAGTAAAATCGTCGTTTAGACACATTCGTTAACGTGACCAGTGTAAACCAGTGGCTGCTATGAATACAGATAGTGTTGCCAAAAATGCAGCTGTCTTGTGTTAGCCATAATGTCCCGTATATTGGCCAAAATGAAGAAAGAATTCTGCTCATTGCCCTGTTTTTGTTCAGCAACGCTGGGTGGCCAATGTTTAGCTCCTACTTAGCGCTGACCCTGCCCTCATCATCATAGCTTTATATAAAGATAATAGACCTCACAAGAACTCAGTGTATGGATAACAGTGTGTTTGTACTTACAATTTGTGCAACAGGATTCAGTGTTTAATTAATACACACTAACTGTTTTCCTTGCATTTTTCAGGATTTAAACACTTTGGCACAACATCTGGATGAGTTACAAGTCTCTTCCTTCATATTAATCTTTATCTCTTTTTTGTACTTTACCTTTATGTATTCATTTCTTAATGTAATCAACATTCATTTAATTTTTTTTTTTTTTACATTATATTACTGTGATTAACCATAGTTAATGTTTAATCTTGTGTGTTGAGTTGTGATGTAAAAATCTTTGAAATTACAATACACATTGTATGATGATGTTGGGAAGCAGCAATTGTATTTGCTTGGTAACAGTTGTGGAATTTATTCTGGTCAGACAAAGACTGATCATAAAAAGGAATGCAGCAAAGATTCTAAAGTAAACTTTATTCAGTTATTTTATCACTTTATCTTATGCTTCCTGCTCGTTCTGTATCTCTTGTAAAAGTATAAGAGTTAACAAGCCAAGGTGTTAACTGCTTTGAATATCACACCAAAATCTGGCACGTCCTGAGAGAGAGAGAGAGATAGTGAAGACTGGATCTAAAACATTTGATTAATTCACTTTTTCACATAATGTATTACATGTATTTATCATTCGGCCATGAAAAACGTATTACATGTATTTATCATTCGGATATGACATTTACTTTAAAAGAATGCTAAAGACTCTAAATGGGACACTATACTAGCAGTGTAAATTCAGTGTAAATGAGGTTTGAATACCCTTTGACTGAAGAACTTCTAGCACAGTGTCAAACTGGTATTGAGCTAATCTCAGCTGTAGTTGTGCTGCATTTGTACTCCCTCATAACTGTCAATTCATATTTCATGTTACAGGCATATTACAATTAATCATGGTCAGGCATTTCATGGAAATTTCATTCCCAAAATATTTAGAAAACTTTAATAAATTAATAAATCTTATACAGCAACTGTAACAACTGACTTGTTTTGAATGTTTTAATTCTGACATAAAACCAGAACAATAACAAGAACATTTAACAATGCATAA